GCCTGCCTACGCCCTGCTTTGGGCCCCGCCGGTGCTGGCCCTGGGACACGGGACCAATGTCCCCAGTGTCTTGGGACCAAAGACATTGGGACATTGGTCCCAAGGTAGTGACCAGGGGGTGGGGCACCTGTCCATGCAGCCCTTGACAGGCTACTAAAACTGGGTAAGCAGCCCTCCACCCAAAATAATTGCCCTGTTCTAATGTGTACTTAAGTAGTGACCTTACAGAAAGTAGATTTTATCTTCTCTTTTCAAAAGGTACATGAATTAATAATAGAGCCAAATAATTGTAATTAAAAACTAGCTTAAGTTTTTTCAATATAAAATTGAACCTTGGTGTAATGGCTCACACACTTGGAGATGAAATAATTCTTTCTTTTTTTCCCCTGCCTGCTCTTTCTAAATTTCTGGTTATGAGACTGATGTAATCCTGTCTGTTTAACTCTAAACTACTATGATGAATCCCACTAAACCAAATGTTTGTGAATTATTTACAAAAATAAATATATAATTTTTAAAAAAGTTATTAATATTCACATAGGCAAATAATCAGTAAATTCACCTTCAGCAAATTAAACTTCCAGTTACTATTGTAATAGATAAAATTTTTAAAAGGATATATATTTTTTAAATCCTTGTTAAGTAGGTTTGTTAAGCATGCCAGTATGTCAAATCTGGTGGCAACTTGGTAAAACAACAATCTGTCAAACCTGGTAACAAATTTATCAGTATAACCAACTTTTAACTTGATGCGGGGAGAATGTGAGGTTTGAGTTAGTGGTAAATCAGTGTACGTGACAGAAGTGAATTCCTTGCAGAGTGCTCGTGCCTGCTTCTACTGTACAGTTTCCATTAACTTTAGAGGGATGTGCTTGTATGTACAGGGGAAAGAGTCTTTTTTGTGTTCAGGCTAAATTAGGCACTGCTCCTGCAGTGCTTTGCATGCTGGCAGACACGGGTGTCCATGCAGAAACTCTACTGAAGCTTGCTACTTATGAGCTCCTGTGCTACTTGGACTACTTGTGTGTATGCAGGGATTATATAAAATGGTTGCATGAGACAGCAGGAGACTGATATGACCCCTGTCATCCCTCTAAGTGTTAATGTTGTTGACAGTATGACTCGCTAAAGGATCCTCTAAGCCCCTGGGGGGTCACGCCAATGGGGGCTGTTCACTGCATTGACTGTACCAGGTGAGGCACAGGCCATTAGGCTGCGTGCTGTGCAGATGTTCCTCTCCATGCTCCCTGTTGTACTGCACACCCATGTGGGCACACCTCCCCTCCCCAGTGCAGCACTGTGCACCCATGCCCTACCCCTGGCAACATGCAGGTACGATCTCTCCCGCCCCTTCCCCATGCCCCCACATAGTCCTGGACTCATCCTTAGCCCCCTGTGTAGCGCACCATACTGCCCAGCACCCTGAGGCAGTCAGAAGGAGGTGGGGGAGAACCCAGAACAGTGGGGGCAGCAGTGGCTGAGCAGGAGCCCACTTAAACTCTTGCAGGCCGCAACTTAATCCCTGTAGGCCACCAGTTGGACAGCCTGTTTTAGAGCATTTGGCAGGAAAATCTCTACCTACTAGTCCATGAAACGTGTCCCTTAATTTTGGAAACGCTCTTTTTTTAAACAAGTTTTTTGGAAATGCTCTTGTTTTAAACAAACAAGGTTTTTCATGGTACAAGATGCATCTAAAGCAGGGGTGAGCAAAATGGCAGATCTGGCTGGCAGCTGGACTCCATTTCCCAGAAGTTCCTGACCATTTCGCTGCAGCCAGTTTCCATGGAGACCCCAGCAGGGCTGTGACAGCATGGGACCAGGTTTTCCATGGAGCCCCAGCAGCACTGGCGGGATGCACTGCTGGGCTGGGATCTTGTGGTGGTGACAACACGATCCAGAGCTGGGGCAAAGCTGTGATCTGCCTGCATGCCTTTTCCTGGGGCCATGGAAACAAGCTGCAGCAACATGGGCAGGGGATGCTGGGAAATGGAGTCCACCGTGGACCCGATCTGGGCTGTGGGCCAGACTTTGCCTGTCCCTGATCTAAAGTGGTTTGTGATCTAAGACCTTTTAGTTAGTAGTGGAAGAAAGGTTACTGAGTTCCTAAGATACTGGATCTTGAGATCATTGGACCTATTGCATGCAAATCAGACCTTGGGCCAAGTGTCAAACATAAGGAAATTCTACTGGGTGGAAGGAAGTAAGATTGTAATTACAATGACTTGGGTCCAGCACCTTTAGGCACATTTCTTGTAGGTAGTACAGAAACTTGTCATAGCCTCGTAGTTAGTGTTCTCATTTCTTGAATTGTATGTGGTGATTCATATTCCTTATTTGTGCTTACATATTTGTTCTGTATTGCAGCTTTGTGGTTCTGTACTAGAGTATTTCACTTTGTTTACTTTAGAAACTACTCAGACAGAACACGTGGAAGAAAATGAAGAACCTTTCATTGCTCCGTTGGGACTGAATGTACCTTCTGATGTGGAACTGGTATGTATGTATAATTTTACACGTGTCATTGTAATTTTAGACTGTTCTTGGACTTTTGCTACACGGTGTTTGTGAATTTAAAGTCTAACCAGCTGTTCTAAAATAGTGGCTAAATTTGAAAGGATGCAATCAAGAGTTCAGAATTAGACTGGTTATTTCTAACTTACTGCATTCAGAAAGGTGCAGTTTTTATTGTAGCCTAACTTCAACAGCTCTTGAAAATATTTTGGGGAAAAAATGTAGTTATTCCTGACGTACTGTACTTTGTTAGAAGTAAATAGCAATCCGTGCACACGGCTAAGTATCTGTAAAATAGTAATTAGTAAGTTAGTTTAAAGAAGAGCATAAAGACCTTCCTTGTCCTAATGTTTTATTACCTGTTATATGTGGAGCACAAAGAAGAAATCTTGATCAGAAGTGTACTGCAGTTCAACCGATCAAATAAAAGGGAAAACAATTAAAATGGGGGTTATAAGAGAAACAAGTGACCCTTACATAGAGTCATACTAGAGATTACTTCTGGGAAGGAGAGAATTACAACTGATAATTTCTTGGAGTTGCATAATAATGTTTTTGGGAACTTTCAAACTCTAGAAACTCTTTTCAAGGACTTCTCATTCTGTATTATCATTAGCTTTTGCGCTTGAAAACAATTAGCCTATCTTCTTGGCAGTTGATTCAACTCCTTTCCAGAAATATTTCACTGACACAAGGTAATGTTGATGCCTGAATACATTGGTATTTGTCTGAAATTTCAGATGTTATGTAAGTAGTATGATTCATCATTATAAATATATCTGTTTTATGGAATGTTGTGCAAAAGTTAATCTGAGTTCTTAATTGGAAAAGGTTATTAGAACTCTGGGAATACAATACGTGTTAGTACATTAGCTCCAGAAAATAGACTGTTGTTGTACAATAACTTATTTTTTCTATTAGATATTCACTGAAGGATTCCGACCTGTTTAATATCCAGTGGCATGTAATAGAGCTAATTGTATTACAGATCTTAAACCCCTATTTTTTTGTTTGAGTTGTTCTTAATATTTTATTGATTTCATGTGCCTAATCCTGAATATTCCTATGAGATCTTTGAGTGGTAAAGCATGTGCAAACTGAAATTTATGTGCACTGAACATTAATTTCTACAGTGCAGTTGCCATCACCTTCAGGTGATTATGTAGTCTCCATTAGTAATGTTGATGATTGAGACATGAGAGAGAATCAGCACAGTAATGTAGTATTTGAATGGCAATTACAGGAGTCAGTTGGTAGTGGAAAACAGCTAAAATCCAAGGCAGCAGTAACTGTTTTGTTTTCTATTAATAGAAAAATGACATTGTTTTCAAATTTGGTTTCAGAGTGCAATGTGGGACTGAAATGTAGTAGTCATGTAACTGTTGACCTACTGTACACATGTAAGAACAAAAATGCAAATGAGCATATTTGACCTTGAATTTGTACCATTTGGGATTTTTTTTTTAGATGAGCTTGTATATCAGTGTATGATCTTGGAATTTGCACCAATCATGTAAAGTAAATGCTTTCAGTTATGATATGAATTGTATTTTCAGCTTGACTGATGTCTGTTGGGGATCCTATCACATCAGGTTTTATTTTCCTGCTAATATGATTCTTTTTTCCCCTATTAACGTGAAACAGAGATACCAGCAAACCATTCTGATCACAGTTCAGCCTCTTCAGTCTCTCTATTTCTCTCCCTCCCTCTTATCTCTGGTTGACTGGAGTTGACCTGCTAGAGGAGGCATACAAATAGCTAGTGGTGGTGGATCTCCAGGGATTACATAAGAGTTGAGATCAGGTCTCAAATTGCTGATATGACCCAAGAAACATTGACTCTCCCAAAAGCAGGTTTTCTGGTTTGCCAAGTTAGCTCACATTTTAAAAAAGGAATTTGAGTTGTTACAGGCTGTTCCTTGCAGTTAATTTAAAAAGCAGCTAGGCTGGAACATTTTGCCAGAATAGCAGAAAAAGGGGTTAGATGGCATTTAGATAAATCAGATATTTTAAAGTATGCAGGCCCAATGGACCGTTGAAAAAGTAAAGACCTGGTCAAAAGCTGGTGTGTGTGTGTGGGGGGAGGTGTTATGTTGTTTTTTTTTCCCTGAGAACTTGTGGAAGATGACGCAGGGATCCTGGTTTTCCATGAGAAAAAAATCACAAATTTCTGATTAAAAATCCCAAAATCTGTGGTTAAAACTAAATGCCCTCTACAGCCCTGTTGGTGTTGCTCACTAATCCCCCACAACTTCCCAGCCCTGCATGTGCCCCCTGCCCCAACATGCACTG